TGTTCCGAACCCGAACACCTCAGAAAAAGTGGAGGTCGTGGGGAATAGTTGGAGAATGATCATGTCTACTCTCCAGGGTGGTGCCAGTCGAAATGAGGGTTGGTTTGTGTTGGAGAGGACCTGTCCTGTCCCCCCGTAACCCCTTCAATTCGTCCTGACCCGACCCGGGGCCTAGGCCAAATCCCCAACCACAAGCTGCCCTCCTTATCCCCCCCCCACCCCTTACCCCGGACCGGACCCACCCAACAACCATTCTGAAGGCATACACGGCCCTGTGGGAACATACAGACATGGGCAGACGACCTTTCTTTTTGGCTTCCGTCAGCCACTGCGTTATATTTCGGGCTGCAGTAAGCGTACTTCATAACCACCGCGAGTCAAACAGGGGAAAAACGGCAGTGTGCCCGAGGCACAAAAGCGTGCATAGTAGCCGAGCGTAGCGCGCGCTATAATTTTTTTCTAACTGACTTAATATTGAAAATCCAATAATGATTATTGGAGAGTAGGATTTTCGGGTTCGAATGATACCAAAGAGGGCAAGTGAGCTCTCCGAAATACCACTTTCACAAAGTCGCCAACAAAAACCGCCTTGCTTTTGCTACTTTCTTGAGCCAGTCTTTTCTTAGTGCTAGGCAGCACTAGAATCACCGCGTTCCATTCTACAAAGCCTGAGCAAGCATTTTTTAAGATTAGTTTCGGTTTTAAAGTTATAAGGCCTAAAAGTTTTGACCCCATCTATTTTTGGGTCGATAGGAGTGTCGCGTTGTGTAGAGCCTTATGACAGCTAATTTTCAGTGTGTAATTTCAGGTTTTTCAATAACAGTTCACATACTAGACGTGAAATGTGCTTTGGTTTATTACTCATCAGTCTTTTTGAAGCACATCCCTCTTGCCCTATAATCGACGAAAAAGGCTGCACCCCCCCTTCCCCGCAGGTTGGGGCCCATCTAATCGGATCACTCGCTTCATTAAAAGGTCCCAACAGTCTGCTTGTCTCTGTATCTATCTCTGATCTCTCTCGATTCACTGGCTTCGCCACGAGGAGGCAAATACGGAGGTCAGCCAACGAGGCGCCGTGGCTGCAAGAAAAAAGAGTTTGGACGATTCGAATTGGGCGGACGCGGGCGGCCCCGCGACGTCATCAAGCAGTGGGAAAGGGGACGTCTCCATTGCTTGATCAGGGGCCACCCATAGCACGGATTAGACAGATTAGAACGACGCACACCACAACCACCACCTCAGCCCCGTACCGATCAGCCAGACTGTCTTTAAAGAAGGAGGGTCCTTTTTTTAGGAAAAGTCCAGCGAGGTCAACTGGGTTCGGGAGCGTTCGGTGTCTACCCCAGCTAGGTTAGGCAATCAAAACATTTGAGAAACGCACGGTAATTGAAGGTGAATGCAAAGATAGGGACTGTTATGTCGAGAATCGTTGTTTTGGGGGGTGTTCTCCGGACACGCGCCTGGCGCACTCGATTTGCCGCCTTGGGATGGGGGACCGGACATTGAGAAGAGGGCCCGCGAGCCAGTCGCTTGGTTTCGGATTTTCTTTTAAAGGGATCGGGTTTGGGGTAGGTACGCAATAAATTAACTTTCGGTTAAGAAGCATTGGCGTAGGCGCAAGAACGAAGCGAACACAGAAAATTTCAGATGATATTGATAATTACAGGATGTCCCAAAAAAACCTCACCCCCTCTAGCGGTTAGCAGCCATGTCCGATTCCTACGATTTAGTTTCTATCGAAAGCTCTCGAAGAGCTGAATCGAAATGTTCTTGCCTTGGCGAAGCTCCCAATTCTTCGCTCGACTTTCGGGTTTTACATGCAAAAGCTACAAGGTTTTCCTTAAACCTCATTTCAATCGGCTTCAGCCTCGCGCAACCTGTGTTTTCTCAAATGGCTTTCAAAAAGCTACTTTCGGGCTTGCAGGAATGGTATAAAAATTCGGATTATTGTTAAAATCGAAGATCACTGCGGGCCGTTAGAGGGGGAGGGGTTTTTTCGGGACACCCTCAAGCGAGTAACTAGAAAGCTGAGGCGATCTTTGAAGTCGGCTTTCAAGGACTGGTCGGATAAGATCACTAGTTCAGCGATACAGTGGCAGAAGATGCTAGATACAGACCCCGTTTCTGGCGTCGGCATTTCCCGTTTCGGCGGGGCTGTCAGCACCCCGCGCGATCAGGCAGGGCAAACGACAAGCTGTGGCCCGGATGGCCCTTCGATAGGGCATTAGGGCTTAGGGCAGGGCAGAAGTTAAAAACTAGCTTTACTGTGGTTAGGGGCGAACCCAAATTACTGAACTTAACAATGGCTTTGGCACTCGGAACGAAAATTCCTGGTAAAAATCTACCAGAATATTTAAGCAAATGAAGCTGAGGACTTGCCTGTGTCCTTGGCGCAGTGACTCCAGGCGTCCTCATCGATACTCGGGGCGAGTTGCATGGCCTGCGGGCGCAAGTGGACTGTCCAGCTGGATGTGAAGAAGGCGAGGACCCGTTGACTGGAGACTGTTCGGGAGGAGTCGGCTCTCTATCTTTCACTCACTGCCCGTCTCTCTCTTCCTTGCCTTAAGCATGGGCCCTGAGGACACAAAGGGGTAAAGAAGAAGGGCCCCGGGGAGGGAGAGAAGCCACTGGGTCAACAGCCCCCCTCAACCCCCCTCCAACAGCATCCATGCCAACTACAGTTCCCTTGGCATCCGGGTAGTCTCGCTCTCGAACTGTAGCTTTGTCGCGTTCTCTTTAACTTGTGTGATCTCAGTGATCCGTTTTCCCACAGGCAACACTCTGGAATTGAGAATTTAACGATTTACACAAAGTAGTCTCCCAATCGCCGCCCAACTGGCCCATTACGGCATATAGCTATGATGCGGTAGGCCTCAATCTAAGCTTAAGCCTAAGCCTAAGCCAATCTAGGCCTTAAAGGAGACCGCGATGCCCAAGCCCAAAAATCATAAGCCTAAGCGAAACTTAACAGCAGAAGCCGACCTATGATAACCCTCAGCATCTTTTTCAGACCTCCCTGATCCGGTCACATATTCTGAATTCCATTGAGCCGTTTTCCCACACACGAATCTCAATCCGACTATTTGTTCACTAACAGATATCCTGGCCCCGGATGACGCCCATAGTAGCCATCTTGCTAGGCAAGAGCCGGGTTGTCTGTCCGTATGTTTGTCCTCTTACCTGTCATCTGTCCACTCAAGAAAAGCACGTCCTCCAAGGTTTGCCTTACGCTTTCCCTGAGGCCACCGTTTCAAAATTGGCTTTGCGCCTTTGCGAGGGTGACTGGGTGACTAATGGAAGGAAAACAAAAGTTTTGGGATGACAGATCAAGAAAGGCGAAGCTTTTCAAAGAGCATTCCCGATAGTCCGCTCTCCAAAATTTCCCCCCACCCCTTCCGCTTTCTCTATTTTGCAGGAGTGGCAGCTAAAGATGACCCATAGTGCTTGTTTTTGTCTTGTTATTGTTGACGGCTATGGTAAGTATCCATCAGATATCTCTCAACTGAGCCCTGCACACGGCCTAAAAGTTGAGCTACAGCTTCCCGAATCGTCGTTAATGTCTCGATCATACAGCTGTGTTGTCTTGAAAGGGGGGGCATGGTGTGGGGCGGGCGTGACGCTTCCGCGTGGTGTGTCCCCCCACCCCTTGCCTCAGCCGAGCGAGGGTGGCGATGGTGGAGAGGGTTCATGGCCCTCTTCTACCCTCACTGCAGCTTCTTCTATCTGGATGGGGTGCACCCTCACTCCCCCATCGACCCCGCAAAATATTAGACAGGTCCCCGCGGGTCTCGTGTGCCGAGGCAAATAGTCTGAGAAGGTCTCGAGAAGCCGATCACATCCTAGTAATCGGCACCACATGCAAAACAGGACCTTCGGATCACCAAGATCCCGCTCAATTCCAGCCGGTGTGTAAATTTACGTCATGGTATCAGAGACATGCAAGGGAAGGCTTAATAATTTTCTCAGAATTACAGGATTTCATGTGTTCGATTTTCCTATACCTTCAGCATCACTACCACCAAAATAACCCTAGGTACAATTCGCAGAGTCTGCGGATCGTTCCCGGAAACTTGGCCGCGCCACAGCATTCCCACTACCATCAAAATGCTTGAGATGTCGAAATGGGTCGGGGGCCACGCGGGACGGCCGTATTTGGCCTTCCGCATTCCCGAGGCCCGAGGCGCCTCCGCGTCTCCTCGATGGGGGGAGCTGCGGACACGGACGGTCTTCGGATCGCCGGGGATGAGATCGTGAACTCAGATGGCAACTTATGTTTCTAGAAAGTAAAAATTAAAGCGATTCATGGGCAATTTCACCCAGATTACGATACAGTACGATGCAATGACATTCGCCTAACGCAATAACAGACTTCGGATTTCTCTCCAGCCTCAATATCGCTAAATGTGGCAATACACTACAATCTCTACCTATAGCATTAATGCTAATATATCGCGTTCTTCAAGATCAGCAATCAGCAGTATCTTCTTCCTGACTGCAATCCCCGTCTCGGTCCCTTTAATCCATGATATCACTCGATCAGGCCCACCTGGCACCAACGAAATGAGTTTGCAAAGTGCTAGTTTGTCTTTTTGTCCCGTCCATTCATCTAACCATCCGGTTTGTCTAGAAGGGGGGAGGCGTGCCCCCGAGTTGTCTCCCCGCGCGCTTCGCTTGGCTTCTCCGATGCGATAAAAGAGGCTGGTGGGTCCCAGCTTGTCCCCCCTTAGGGCCCCGCCCCCCATTCACCATCAAACCCTTCGTCAATCATTTTCGTTTTTGATCCGACTTTAGGTATCGGGGTTAGGCCCTTCGCCGAATCTGACTTCAATCTACGCCTTGAGATCAACGGTCTCGCCTTTCATTAATGCGCCGATACCTGTAGCTTCGTCGGAAAGCTTTAGGCAGAGGTTCTTAAATTGAATCAGCAACCTATTCTACTTTCAATGTACGATCTATTCGTTGTATTAGCTATTCTTATTTGAATTGCCAACATTTCAGGGATGTGCGGGATCTGGGGAATGCTTGGGGCGGTGGGTGGTGTGAGTCCCCGCGAGCAGGGTCTCTTTCTTCGAATCGTCGGCCGAGGCCCAGATCTCACCGTGCTCACCCAACCTCACCCAGGTGTCCACCTCGGTTTCCACCGGCTCGCCATCGTCATGGTCAGTGGCTAATTATAAGCGCCTAGCTCATTTTCCACCCAAATTTACATTGGGGAGTTTTAACGTGATTTTTACTGGAATTCTAGTGTCACCACCCCTTTAAACCATGCGCTAAATTATCTTTTGATGGGGTGATGAATCCGCCGGCGACTATTTGTCTTATGACTGGGCCAACGGTCTGGGCCCCAATCAGCATCGAGTCGAACCGGTCTATGCTAAGAGCGCCCTTTGCGAAGAAGCGCCTGCGTGATCGAATCGTTCTCTCTCTCTCTCTCTCTCTCTCTCTCTACCCATCAACATCCAATCTATTTGCCCCCCCTAATCGGCCTCCCGATTACGTAGAGACCATCTCTAGCAGCAACAGCTAAGGCTCGGCGAGTGAAGCGGAAGGGGGAGGGAGCAGAGAAATGCGAGAGATCGTGAGTTAGTATGAGACGCAGAATAGGGCTAAGGGCCAAACATGGACTGTGGGGGAGACGATCCCTTCCGCTTCCGACCTCTCCGCTTAAAGGAGGGGACACGGGGAAATGGCCAGAGGTGACGAATCGTCTAACGCGCTCACGGCGCGCAACAGAAAAAGTGCACTATCAGGGGGACGGAGAATGGGAAAGCAGGAAGATGAAATTCGGCATTTTAGCCAGGGGATACGCCAAGCGAGCAGCCGATCGTCGGAGCTGGGCTGTCGGTAGTCTGCAATGGAGAACTGTACAACCATGCAGCCATTAAGGGTAAGAGTTTAAAGGGGTGGCGACATGAAAATTTCCATTTCCAGCCGGTTCTCCTCTGCAACTGTCAAATAACGGTTCCGACTGTGCGGCCATCATCCATGCATTCCACAAGACGGGCCGCAATCTTAGGTGCGTTGTCTCGCTCGCTGTCTATTTCCCTACATAATTAGTGAGGCGTGCGCGATGCTTGACGGTGTGTTCGCCTTTCTGATGTCGGACGAGGAATGCGTGTATGTGGGCCGAGATCCGCTCGGCGTACGACCCCTATTTTATGGATATACCCAAGAGGGCCACCTACTCTTTGGATCCGAGGTACCACCAATAAACTGCCAATCCCTATCCTCGCAAAAATCTTTAGGCGAAGAGCATCGTAGACGTGTGTGTCCGGGTTGAATATTTCCCTCCGGGTTCCTGTGCCACGATTCGGATGATAGATGGCCGTCCTCAGCCCTTTAAGCCCCAGAAATACTACACTGTTCCCCCGCATGCAGACCGGTTCGTCACGCAAGAGCAAGCTCAGGTAGGTGATAAATCAAAGCTAACAAGGAGACGTTTTTTAGTGACAAGCGAGTTTCTGTAAGGGACCAAGCCTAGCTTATGCAAAATTTTGCGCTGATTGCGAGTCTGTTTCAAAATCTGCGAAACGATCAGGTCGAAAAATTAATGAAGCTTTTTAAGGTGGAAAAGACACAAATTGCTGCAGGCCATTTTGGGCTATTTTCACTCTTAAAACCTACATAACTTTTTGAATCTTATCGTTTCGCAAATTTTTGAAAAACGGCTCGGAATCAGCGCAAGATTCTGCACAAGATAGGCTTGGTCCCGGACGGAACTCGATTGTCACTAAAAAACGTCTCCTTGTAAGCATACGCCTAACAATAAGCCTGAAAAAAATAAAATTCTCTAGACGTTGATCCGGGACATGCTGGTGAGCAGTGTTGAGAAGCGGTTGATGGGAAATAGGCATTTTGGGTTCATGCTGTCTGGAGGTCTCGATTCCTCTCTCGTTGCCGCCATCGCCACAAAGGCCCTCAAGCACAAGCCGGTACGAGACATTCCATTAAACACCTTTAACAACAAGATTCTCAGGTGGCCTTCTCCGTAGGCTTCGAAGATTCTCCAGATTTGGAGAATGCCCGGCACGTCGCCCAATTCCTCGATATTCCACATGTTGTGCACGTCATCACCCCACAGGACTGTCTCGACATCATTCCCGGTAAGTCGACTTGGATCAAATCGTGACAATGCTTATTTACAGAAGTCATATATGCCCTGGAGACGTACGAGCCGGCAATTGTGCGATGTGGAATTGCCCACTATCTGCTTTGTCGACACATCGCCCAGGTGTCAGATGTGAAGGTGCTTTTGTCAGGTGAGTGGAAATCATGTCAATCAAACACGCTATATGCCTAAGCTGCGGCATAAAAAAACGAAGTTTGATCTAAACCTGGATTTAGGCGAAGGAGCGGACGAGCTGTTTGGCTCCTATGCGTACATGCAGAAGGCCCCCTCAGCCTTCCACGTTCACCAGGAAATCCATCGCCGGCTGGCCCTCCTCCATCAGTACGATGTGCTCCGTTCCGATCGCGCTACCTCGTGCCATGGCCTCGAGATTCGAGTCCCATTTCTCGACAAGAAGGTTAGAATTTCCTATCGTCCTTCAAGAAGCTACCGCATTTAGTTCATCGATCTGGTCGTTCGTCTCCCACCTCAATACAAACTACAGCCCCAACGTGTCGAGAAACACATCCTTCGGGCCGCCTTTGAAGACTGGCTACCCCGAGAGGTGCTTTGGCGCAGCAAGGAAGGTTTCGGCGAGGCTCTAGGTATCTTGGAAATCCAGTCGGTTACGCGACGAAATTCTCAGGGAAACATGATCTCGGGGAGATTGTGAATGCACACTGCAATACCATCATCTCTGACAAGCGTTTCGCCGCCCGACATGCTTTATTCCCCGATCGGACGCCCGAGGTAATATATTCCCCAAGAAACTATGCTAGCCCTGGTCCCCATGTGCCCCTATTTCTTGATTAGCACACGTGCATGCCCTCGGGCATCTTTTTGGGGGAGATAAGAGGTTGGTTGGGTGCAGGAGTACCCGTTGGCCTCTTCTCTTAATGACTACGCAAGACAACTGCAGACAAACATGAGGGGCAGATCAGAGGCGATATGCAGATAGCCATTGCGCACCCGGTGGCACCTGTAGGCTGAGAGAGCGAGAGAGAGAGAGAGAGAGAGAGAGAAAGAGAGAGAGAGAGCGGGCCCACGGAAGCCTGGTAGATCAAAGGCTGCCGAGAATCTGGCTCAATGGAGCATCCATCCTGAAAAACTAAGCCTAAAAAACCCAAATCAAGACGGCTACGCCTAAGCTTAGAATTACAATAAAAATTTCAGACAAAAGAAGAGTTCTGGTACCGGGAGCTATTCGAGAAGGTCTACGGCTCGGATCGGATGGGACACATTATTCACACAAAAGTCTACAGGTACACCCTTGCTACCGTATCCTTAATTGCCCGCCTATCCAGGACAGCCGCTTGGCAGCTAGAAGAAAAGGAGAACCACACCGAGACCCCTTCGCGACTGGCCCCGGCAAGAGCCGATGAAGTGCTTCGACTTCGGAGACGATCTACCGGCTCCACGACGCTGGCTGGGGTAGCATAAGGTATCGGAGAGCTTAATACTGATCCTCTTGATTCATGGCAGATCAATAAAAATTTTTCTAGGTTACAACGTTCCCGGCTCGTCATTTCGTGTCCAGCGTAGTGCTAGAAACGGCTTCTTCAAAACAATACCTTCCAAAATACTTCAAAGACTTGCAATTTTGCTGCTTTATATTTTGCACCCTGTTTCCCCGGCTCTTGCCCATCATCGGCCCGTATTATTTCTGAATATTCCGTAACAATTCCCTCCCCCCCTCGCTAGCGTCTTTTAAGACATCAACCGATTGTAGGCTATCCAATTGACTCCCCGAGCATTTCGTGTCACTCATTATTGAATTTTATTTCTAATTTTATCATAATAATAATATTAATTTTATTGCGACAACCAACCCGGCATGTACATATATTCTAAGTTTTCCTTGCAATATTATTTGGCAATAAGGAATAAATGTTGTTTTGGCAAATTCGAGCGAGATCTTATGAGGTGAGAGAGTGAGAGCCAGAGAGGGTAAGAAAGGGGGACCCGGGAGAAGCAAAAAAGGCGGAAAGGATGGTGGTAAGAGGAGCCGATCAACAGATTGCACTGAAATACAAACGTTGACGCATTGAAAAAGGCTTCTACAGTTTTCTGACACGTATACAGTACTTTTGGGGGTGAATTGTGAGTTCCATTCGCTGCTCGAGACTGTACGTCTCACTGGGAACCTTCTCGAATGAATATCGCCGCAGAAGGTGGCCAATCACCGAGAACAACTCCAGTCTGTAATTTCGGTTTTAGTAACGGGAATTGCGGAATAACAAAAAGACAACGTCGCGCAAACGCACCGCGCAATCGTCTCCCCCATACACATCCTAGATCCAAGACCATAAGGCAAAGCCGCTGCCATCATTGCACGATCTAGACCACCAGATGACGACAAGAAACGGGCTGGGCGGAATTGGGAGGGATCTAGAATTCTTGATCTCGTTGCAATATCCTCGACCCACGTTCGAAAACACTCGGATCCATTAGTGTCGTGTACAAGTTCATAAATATCGTCGAGCCGGCGGGGATACGGTACCCGTCCAGCGTTGTTTCCCGGAAATTCCGATGAGGCATTGAGAAGGGGGCAATGTTGGCCAACCTTTATCGTCAACTTAATAGTAGAAGAGTAGCAAATACCTTTGGATCTCGGCGATCGTTGCTTCGAGATAGGGTAGGCGCTGCTTTTCGGCCCAAAGTAGTGGCTCGTCGTCTCCCACCCAAAATCAAAAGGCTTATGTTTTTAGGTTGCTAAGGCCTCACTGCATTATGGAGTTCAGCGGAAGGACAAAAAAGCTTTTATAACTTACCGCTTCTTGAATATGCTCCCTGCATTCCTGTTGGACATCAGGGTTAAATAGAAAGAAAAGGAAAGCCCATCCAAACGTATTGCACTCAGTCTGCTCAATAATAATACTAATAATAGACTTCAAAGTTCTCACCTGTATTCCAGCAAAGAACATTTCAGTAATCAATCTGACCAGCACCTCCTCAGAGAAGAGATCTCCATTCTCTCCGGCTTCATCAATTTGCCTCAGAAAAGCCGAGGTCAGATCGTTCTTCTGCAGATCGCGATATTCTACAGTGGAAAAGTGAGGAGTCATTTCCTCGAATGAACATACCACCCGTCCTCCTTCTTTGCTGAATATCCGCCCTCATCATTGATTGGACTTTCGTTGCTTGTTCTTTCATTTGTCTGTATCCACTCCGTCCCGCTCCGGGCAACAACCGAAGCCATGGCAGGAACGTGAGGGCCTTTGTTTGCTCCATTAATCGAGTCGTATCATCGAGCCAACCAGCTGTTTCCCTAAACACTTATCGCTGATAAGTTGCCTGAATTGTGGGGTATTACCTGAATTCAACCGATCCATGGGGATACGAGCGCCCAAGAACAAGTCTGGTCAGCACGTTACCAACCACATAGAAAACTGTGTCTTCCAGGCAAAGCTCAGCCATATTTCCACCCAAAGATTGTTCCCTCTAAAATGTCTCTATTGTTTGGATTCTTTCGCACTATCGGGGGTGAAGCGGTTATCGGGAGGCAGAACCAAGTTTTTTTTAGGATCTATTTTTAGAATGATTTGTAGAAGTGTTTCTAAATTGTTTTTTTCCTAAAGGTGCAGACTTTAAATTTTTATTAAAAAATATCAAAATAATCGATTTTGTGATTTTTGACCAAAATTTCTACTTTTGCAACATTTTTAAGGTTGTAGAAAGCGTTCTAATAGAAATATTGTTATATATTGCTAAAAATACTATTAAAACACTTTCTATTAAGTTACTACACTTTCGACCGCATGTAAAAAGTCCCCCCCGATAATGCGAAAAAACCATTGTTTGTTTTGCTTCGTATTCTGACTTACCATCAATCCTTCAATATAAACATCCATTCTCCCAATCTCCTCAGTAACCATATCTTGGACAGAATCTATGCCCCGGCTGCCTGTAAGAGAGAGAATGGTATAGGGTGTAGTTTATAATCGATTGCCCTAGCGCCAGTTCCTAACGACCACCGGAAATAAAGCGAAACTTACGGGCTCGCAGTAACGTTAGTAGATGACGTCGCAAAAAAGCATTTCTCGGCCCATCCGATATGACGGAGCCCTTTCCCCAGCAAGACTCATGTACGAACAGCGTCGGACGACCCGAAAAGTTTTCGCCGTCTTTCACAAAGGCCTCTCGAAGAACGCGTTGCCTGCAAATCACGGAAAATTACGCATACTTACTTCAACTGGACAACCCAATCTCTTTGCGCTAAGTTTTCGACTGATTGTGCTGATTGTGGTCTGTTCTATTCGGTCCCGGGATCGAGACACGGTTTCGCCCCGTGTCACCTATCCATCACAATCCCAAATACACCACCCCTCTCTCCCCATTCTCTGTCGTCAATCGACTGTTCGATCCATTTCCTTCCCCTTTTTCATCAAAAATGCCCCGTTGATCGGATCCCTTTCCGGTAAAACTTCTTGCGCGATTGCTAGCAATCACACACACGCACAGCACGCTGCGAGTTATTTTTGAGACGCAAAATAGCTACGGTGTTTTATGGGTCTAGGACGGCAGGCAGCTCGAAGAAAAGATACGTGAAATAAAAATAGCATAAGGTAACGTAAGTTTTCAATTTCCCCAGGCTACCCGTACATTTCCCCCAATGCGGTCAGGAAAATTGTTTTTAAAACATAGTCGGTCCTATTTCAACTTGGTTTCAACGCTATTTCGCAACTTCGTAGGGCGCGTATAGCGAATGGCTATGGAAAATTGACTAAAAATTTACTATCTCTATCTATCAAGCTGCTAGGATAAAAATTTCGGGCCGCAAGTGTCGTGATATCAGCACCTCCGTCAGAAATTAACAATTTTCGCCTCAGCCTGCCAGAAATCGAAAAAGCTCGGACACCGGAAGCCGACGTCCCACCTAATTCCAAAAAACGCATGTTTGGATGCGACAGCATCTCATCTTGTTTTGCTCGTGAAACCGTGTCTCGCCCCCAATCATCGGCCAGTTCGATGATCAATTTCCCCAACTAGAATCTGTTCCCGTCTGCCCGCGGCCGCGCCCATGCTTTTTTTATGTCTGTTCCCCGACCGGGAATGCGCGTGGGAAAAACGTCCAAAGCAAGCGATTCACAAAAGCGTTGTAGAAGCAAATATTAAACAAAACCCACCTGGAAAGAACAATGACTTGCTCGGATCCAAAATGAAGCGTGAAGACATCCCCAAGTTCTTTGGCCCATTTATCAAGCGTTAGAAAGGGCTGGGTGGGGGAGAGTCGCCAAAGATGGCCAAGCACCGGCACCCAACCGGAAGGACCTGAAACACTCCGGGATCAAGCTTGAAGATGAAGCGTGCCAGAAGCAACAAGCAAAATACGATCCCCCTACACTCGCGGCGGGGGCAGTCGATATTTTGCTGTACCTTTGGAAGGATTTAGATGGAGATAAGCGACTGACTGGGGGGAAGGCGAAGACGACCCTTTCCATCGACCGAGCATCGAACGAGAAGCTGCCACAGCACCCATGCTCCCGTTATGAAGACAAGCAGCAGCATATTGCTGAATCGAAAGGTATTTGGAAAGGAAGAAATCGCGGGAGAATATCACATGATAGGAGAGAGAACCAATTCCAGTTAAGGCCTAGGCTAGTGTCAGGCTATGCAGAAAATCCAAGCATCTTTGGATAAGCCTAAGGAAGCTAGCAGAAGCCTTTAGGAACCTTCGCTAAAGGTCTATTGAAGTCCTCACCCCCAGTTGTTCGCCAACCCAACCCCGTTTCCAAATTCAAACTTTGATCTGGGCGTTGCTGAAAAGCCTTGGACTACGGTCTTCCCGATCCCTCTCTTTTCCTCTTCAATCGGGGATGTTCGTTTTGGACTGGCGGCTGTGTCGCGGGGACTAATTGGATGATAGGGTTTCGCGTGTGGCTTTTTAGGGTTAGGGCGGATCCCCGATTTGTGTTTTAGGGTGGGGCACATTGTTTGCATTCCCTCTTTTCGCGAGTTCGATTCGCAATTCAGATCCGGGTGCAACGACCGCAGGGCGGAACGAAACGTCTTCTCTGCACTAATTGCAAATACTTGGGTATCTGGGTCGGGGCGTAAAATATAAGAGGATGACACAAACTACGAAAGTATAATGCTAAGGATTAAACTGAAATGAAGCGGTATTAGACAATCATCGGCCGGTGTGGGAACGCTTAAATGCCACTCAGGCCAAATGGCGGCTGGTACAGGATCAAAGTTGAGGGGGGGGGGGAGATGAGATAGAGAGAGAGAGAGAGAGAGAGAGAGAGGGGGGAGAGCGAGATAGAGCAGCTATAGTGAATGATATTGCTCTCCCAAAGACCAATTGCGGGATTGACAAGAAAGAGGCGGAGAATGATGGAGTTGTGAAGTGATTTGCGCCCCACCCACTCTTCTCCAATTTGTTCAATTGCTATTTTTCGGCAATTTCGCTTCAAATCAAACTCCGGTAGTTGGGTGAAAATTTGATGCGTACAGAATGTCCGGGTTGTTAAGAATTGATTACGGAAAATCGCCAAAATTTGCCTAAATACTTAATTTTAGTTATTTTCTAATAAAATGCGGCAAGCGCGCCGGTTTGGATTATAAAATTGATCGTAAAAAGCAGAATACCGCAGACAAAAGCCGATTCCGCGGGGGTGCAAAAAATGATGAGCTGATACGGGGCAATGGTCAACAACGGACGCGTGAATGTGCTCGAAAAAACTGGTGAAATTATAGAAAAACAAAAGGGGGAGCAGCAGGGCGACCCGAACGGAACTGTACTATGGACAGATTGCCCGAGGGGAGATGCGAGGGGAGGAGTCAAAGAGGTACCGTAACCAGATTGGCTCCGCCTACTCGACCTCCCCCTCCCTCAGAATGGGACAGAATTTCCTTGAAAGCTTTTGAGAGCTTTTTCTGCCTGGATCGGCCGATTTTCTAACATTCCATGTCCCGAGGCCGTTAAATGGTTTCTGTGTGTTGCCTGGAGTTTAGCAATCGACAGAAAAACGAGACCGGAGGGGCAAAGAGCAAAATATCAATCAGTGACGAGGCCGGGGCATTGGGGCACATTTTTCAAGAGGAAAGGAATCGAGTATAGTCTAGCGACGTTGCGGATTTTACAAGTCCCTGATGATGATTTTCGGAATATTGAAGCTCAGGCGACGCCTACGCCAAAACCGGGAAACGCCAAAATCCCGGCATTCAAAAACCCGATAGCCACAAATCCCGGCAGCCATAAACCCCCAGATTTCAAATCATTTATGGGTAAAACGACCGGAAATATCACATTTTGGCTATCGGGATTCTAGCTGTCGAGATGGCTGGAATCCGCCAAAAACTCAGCAAAAGCAAAGTAAGACTTAGCAACATTAAAGGGACAGTGCCATCAAAAAGTAAAGTACCTGAATCCCCTAAAAACTCGTGCCTTCCCCCAGAAAAAGTATCAAAGAACGTCCGCCACACCCATCATCTTTATCTCGACCCCGTCTTCCCGGCGACGTCAGCGGGTAGTGCAACGGAAATTCACACGATGAGGGAATTCATGTGAATCGTGTGGCTGAGGCAGCGCAAAGCCCATCACTCATTTTATCAGCAACCATTCACGATTCGGCGGCTTGTTTTCGTCGATCCGCCCGCTGCTGCTGTCCTCCATTTTGTGGTATTTGACAACAAATTGTCTGTGCGCTAGTGCTAGATAGTGCTAGATAGAGCGGACCCTGGACTCGCAAGAAACGAGTGTCTTTTCAATGACATTTCGTGCTCTGAAATGAGGCAGGGAATTCATTGGATCGCACGCACACTTCTGGATGTTTGTCTACAGCAATAGAAAAAGAAGCAATGGCATGAATTCGTTACCGAGAGAGAGAGGGGGAGAGAGAGCGAGAAAAACAGAGAGAGAGATTTTAATAGCATCGCTTGGTTGGGGAGATAAAGCAGTCGCTGATCGACCCCGGCACAACTAGTTTTTCTACTCGCAAAGCCAGCATTGGCGAACCGATGGAAAAACTGGTATCAGATCAATTGTTCCGTCGATTTTAGCTCCAGAAAGCACCGAACCACGTGTTTCATCTAGATGTATCACTCTGGATTTATCGAGAACACTATGTAATTCAAATATAAAATGAATCATAATATGAATAGACGACACGTCAACACGCGACCCGTTCGCAAAAAAGGAAGAGAGAGAGAGAGAGCGAGAGATAGAGAGAGAGAGAGAGAGAGAGAGACGGAAAGACAAAGGATATTTCGCTTGTTTCAGCCATTTCAAAAAGGGCAATTGGAAACGAGACCAGCTGATCACAATAAATAGGGATACACATCAAATCCCCTAAAAGCCCACTACACTTCCCGATGCTACAATCGGTAGCCGCCAATAAATAAGAAGACTATGGGAATCAGAAAGGCAAGCGCTATGGGTGTATTGCGCGGAATTCCGTTACAATACTCCCATTGGCAGCAGCATATCTCGCCGAGATCACCGCCATTGTAGCACAGCTGCTGAGTTGACGCCGGGGAGTAGCGGTTCGAGGATTTGCCTAGATGGTTCGAGATATAATTTCATCTTTTGAACGTAGATTCTAAAATGTTTAAAACTTACTAGGATATAGTGCATAGTCAGATGGAACTCCGCCTCCACCCGGAGGTCGACGCACTGCCAAATTAAAGGCACAAAGTGATAGCTGGTTTACCCCGTTTCCATCACATGCCCTGAAAATTGTCTTCTTAAAAACATCCCTTAATTCCTATTTCTCGCTTTATGATACTTTTGAATTGGCGGCTGACCTTTGAATAGACCCCTTCGCGTTTCGTATCGTCACACAATAAGAGAGAGATTGACAGACGGCCGGTACCGTTGGATGTCCTCAAAATTGGGAGACGAGCGAACTTTATCCATGTTAGTTTACATACCTGATAAACACTTTAACCCCCAGACGATCGAGGAGAGATGGCTGAGGAAAAAGAGTAGAGCTCGGGGAAGCATCTAAAAGAAAACGTCGATTTTAATTTCCTAAAATCTGCACTTCAAGTGACGATTAAGAGATCAATAACAATCGCGCGCCTGGCGGGACCCTGCCAAGAAGTTAGGGGCCACCTGAAATGTGTCGAGAGTACAGTCGCGTAGGGCCCGGGGGTCCCAGGTGAAAAATCCCATCCCATCGGGGGCCAAATGGGGCACATGGGGCCCGCGGAGGAGAGAGAGAGAGAGAGAGAGAGAGAGAGAGAGAGAGAGACTTGCGAAATATCATCAGGAAAAGTTTCCCTTAATTGTATAATCATTAAAGGGCCCAGTAAGCCAAAAGTCCCGCAATCAGTCCCGTGGAAATAATTTTCAGTGACTATTAATGATGCTCTGTAATTCGGTAATAATATAACCATTACAGGGAGCCAGTAATCGAAAGGCGATCAGCTACCTCCGAGCGATATGGAGAAACACCTGGACTTCTCCCGCCCAGCAGCGAGCAAGCGAGAGACCCACCAGACAGAAAAAGAACAGCAAAAGCCTAGACTGGCAGCATAAATCAGTAGAATGAGTGGGGTTGGGGATCACAGAAAAAAGGTTGAACATCTACCAGTCACTAGCCCCCCTCACCTTCAAAAAGTGCCGCATTCTGTCGTTCCGTTTCGACGGGAAAGAAAAGAAAAAGGGCGAGGCGAGGGGATTAAAGGAACACGCATTCCCCATGGGGAGTAGGACCCGCCACGAAAGAACAACCCGATGACATTCGGCACATGCAAAAAGAAGGGGAGGCTTGAATTGAGGCGAGACTTTCAACTAGTCAGATGTCGGAAAGCGGTTCGCATTGAAAAGTTGGAACTCATAGAATAACTGAGGGATCGATAACTGCAAGCTTTGACGTTAGCAGTTCGTCTAACAAGAAGACGATTTTTTAGTGACAGTCGAGTTTCCGTACGGGACCAAGCCTATCTTGTGCAGAATTTGGCGCTGATTCCGAGCCTTTTTCCAAAACCTACGAAACGATAATATTCAAAGGGTGAGGAAAGTTTTAAGTGAAATTTTAAGTTTTAAGGAAGGCCCAAAATGGCCCAGTTTCGGCAAATGTTTGCTTTTTCCGCTCTAAAAAGCTTCATTATTTTTCGATTTGATCATTTCGCTGATTTTGAAAACAGGCTCGGAATCAGCGCAGAAATTCTGCGCAATATAGGCGTGGTCCCGGACGGAAACTCGATTGTCACTAAAAAACGTCCGCTTGTAAGCTAACCAAAACTCCGTAAGAACCTTTGCTAGTTTGCCATGCGAAAAACCACCTCAATCGATGCTTTTCGCCGTGAAGCTGAAGGGCGATAGGTTGAGGGGAATTGGCAGCCGGGAGGGCAAAGGAAATGGATACGGTATTCGGGGGAATGAGGGGACAAAGCCCCCGAATTCAGCCCCGACAACTCCATTATCTCGGAGGGCAGGGAGAGATATCGTAGAGGGAGAGAGAGGGCAGAGAAGTCGAGAAATTGACGGGGATCCTGCTTACTACCTCCCGCTACCGTCAAATGTTAATGGCAAAGTTTCGCGAGACATTTTTAGCCGC